TTTTGTATAGGAAGTCTACTGTTCTGGCTACTTATAGCCATATTATTATGCCAACCAATGGCCCACAACTATAGCATGTTAATGTTGCTAACCCAATTAACCCTCCAGTCATGCAAAGATCTATCGGTCGTCCTAAAAAGAATCGTAACAAGGCGAATGATGAACCGAGGATAAGAAATACACTGCCTAGAACGCTTCAAACTGTCAAGTGCAAGAAATATGAGAGTTAAGGGAAGCGAGTTGCGGAGAGAGCGATTCCTAAAGGTGGCAACAAAAAACCTTAAAAAAATGGTGACAAGTCGGGCAGGAAGCGGTACGAACTGTTATAGACGGAGGGTCGCAAACACCGCCATCAACCCAAGAATAGTTCTATGTTTTACTTTACTTTTTGTTATGTTAATGAAGTGCATAATGGTTGTTTTGTGATACTGCTATGTAATGACCAAAACACTCAAGGTCTGCTTGTTTTGTGATGTTACTGTAGCATATGCTATGACAAAAAAACTCAAGGTCTTTTTGTTAAAATTATGTTGTCTGTAATGTTACTTCAATGTGATGCTGCTATGTAAAGTTACCTCAGTGCAGTGCTGTTATGTAATGTTACTTCAATGTGATGCTGCTATGTAATGATACATCAGTGTTGTCCTACAATGTATATTTACTTCAGTTTTCTGTTATTTCCGTGTTATGCTGCTACTTCAATGTTATGTTGTTACTTCAGTGTTATGCTGCTACTTTATTATTACAATGTTATGCTGCTACTTCAGTTTCAGTGTTATTACTCAAAGTAACTCTTCATTTGAAATTACTTCATTTGCAAATACATAAACAATGTTACTTCAGTTTCATTTGAAATTAACATTTGAATTAAACAATGTTACTCAAAGTAACTCTTCATTTGAAATTACTTCAGTATCAGTTTCAGTGTTATTACAATGTTATGTTGCTACTCATTACTACAATGTTATGTTGCTACTTTATTAACACAGACAACCATAACTCTTCATTTGAAATTACTTCATTTGCAAATACATAAACAATGTTACTTCAGTTTCAGTTGAAATTAACATTTGAAATAAATAATGTTACTCAAAGTAACTCTTCGTTTGAAATTACTTCAGTATCAGTTTCAGTGTTATTACAATGTTATGTTGCTACTCATTACTACAATATTATGCTGCTACTTTATTAACACAGACAACCATAACTCTTCATTTGAAATTACTTCATTTGCAAATACATAAACATCAAAGTAACTACAATATTTGACATTACATCATTTGATTACATGTGTTGCAACTAATGCAAACACAATTAAAAAGACAAACATCACAGATAACCCCACAAAATAATACATAAACCTAATTTTCATCTTCAATAAATCTTCGTTTTTCTTGATGTCCTTAATCACATCCATAAGCTCCTCATTCTTGTCTTTCAAAGATCTTATCACATCTTTAGCACGAATGCTCATGTCTTCATCAAACTATTGAAAGTAATAACATCCTTTTTTCCTCATCACCTTAAAATTACCACAACCATGAAATCTTCTTCCGGGATTATCGTATGTCCATGACGTCATCAACGGTGACTCAAGCTCACACCAACATCTATTACCTCTTCTTTTTATACCAGACTCAGACTGGTTTGTTGAGGAAAAAGAAAAATTTGTTTCAGACATGTTGGTGAGTAGGAGACACGTTGGGTTTGTGAAGAAGGGTATGAAGAAAATTTGAAGTAATGAGTTTCGAAATTAATGGCTAAAGAAGGACTGATATGGGTTTGTTGAGGAAAGGAGGACTGAGTTTGAAGAAATGGGTTTGAAAATACATGTTAAGGTATTATAAGATTGAACTTAATTTTCTGAAAAATGAAATCAAAAAAATAAATGACATGGAAATGATATTTGGTGAATAAGACCATTTTAAAATGACATGGAAATGCCACATCTTCATTCAACGCGCCACATCATTAAAAACATGATTTAAAATGGCAAGGAGACTAATATCAAACTCAAAACTTAAAATGGGGACCTAAATGGTGGTTTTTAAAATGGGGGGATCAAAACCCAAAAAAAATACAAAATAGGAGGACCAAAGTTGCAATTAAGCCTTCTTTCTTTAATCCAAACATCTATTATTTCCTCAAAGCATGGATATACATCAATATCGATTTTAGTTTATAACGGTTTAAGTAAGGAACACGAGGAAAATGTCAAATTATCTTGTTATATTGAGTCTTGACCGAGTCTAATGCTCTCGCGCCCTTATAAGCCTCGGTTGCTTTGAGACAAATTTGAGTCACTCATATTCAATTGCCTTTTTATCCATCCACCATTCCTTTAGCTTGTGGTAAATTTGTTTGGCCCTGAATTCGTCTGTTTGATTGTTGTAAACAATAATTACTAAGCTTGAACATTGTCATCAACAGAGGAATTTTTATTGCCTAAGAGGCAATTGATTGTATTGAATTCTTATGGAGGAATTCTTGCTACCCAAAAGACAATTGAATGTTGGGTCTTCACAAAGAAATTCTTGTCGCCCAAAAGACAAATGATTGTGTTGGATTCTCACGGATGTATCTTTGTCGCCAAAGAGACAATTGTATCTTGAATCTTTACATAAGAATTCTTGTCACTCAAGAGGTAATTGAATTCTAGATCTTCACCGAGGAATACTTTATGCCTAAAAAGTGATTGAACGTTGTATCCTCAATGTGGAATCCTTGTCGCCTAAGAGACAATTGAGTGTTGGATCCTCACAGAGGGATCCTTTTTGGCCAATAGGCAATTGAATTCTAGGTCCTCACTGAGGAATCCTTTCTGCCTAAAAGGCAATTGAACGTTGTATTCTCAATGTGAAATCTTTGTCTCCTAAGAGACAATTGAATGTTTGGTCTTCACAGAGGGATCCTTTTTGCCCAAGAGGCAATTGAATGATGAATACTCAATAAGGAATCCTTATCGCCCAAAAGGCAATTAATTGTGTTGGTTCCTCAATAAGGAATCCTAGAAACACTAGAAACATTGAACATCAAGTCTCCAAATAGAAATTTTGGCTGCCCTTAGAGGTAGTTGTGGAGTGAGCCTTACATAAAGAATTCTTACTAAACTCTTTCTAAAAGGACCTGATCGCCTTAAAGGCCCTCTCGAAAAATACACTTGAGAAAATAAGTAACTAGACATAAATATAAGAAAATCGTCCGAAGGCACAAAATATCACGTTAATGAAACCCCAAACAACTAGATTTTCATACAAATCCACTAAGGACATGATGACAGATTCCAAAAGGAAAGGGGCTGCGGGCTGACTGACCATCTTCCCGAGGTTTCCTTTCGTCTTGCATGGCCTCTTCACGAACAACTTCTTTAATGGAAATCTCATTCATCTCAATGTGGGCGCTATCTTGCTCAATTGGAACACCCTTCTCAATGTTGAAGCCACACATGCTTGAGTTAATGACTTTTCCTTTTCTAAGACCATGTGTTTGAGGGATTCTGGACTGTATTAATCTTATTGAGTCATGCAAGGAATAAACCAAAAGGATACAAGTTAAGTTAGTTACACCAATATTGGGCGAATGCTGAGCACTGAGCCATGCCCAAAATGCATAACAAGTCGTCTTATTGGACCTGTGCCTAGTCGCCCTAACCGAACCATGTTTCCCTCCCGGTTCAACTGATGGGATACGCGACATACGTTAAATAATTCTGGTGAAGGCAGATAATCAACTCCAAGATTGCAGGAAGAATCCAGTCTCACTCCCATATCTTTGACCGAAAGAAGGTAAAATTGCTTCGCTTTATCTCTGACCCAAGACCAACAAGTCTTATATATATATATATATATATATATATATATATATATATATATATATATATATATATATATATATATATATATATATATATATATATATATATATATATATATATATATATATATATATATATATATATATATAATCCGCTTCCACAAGGAGAAATGAATCTCTAATTCTCAAAAAATCAATTTTTTTCACAATCAAATTTACAATACACTCAAAAGCCCTAAATACTCAATCAATCCTACACAAACATGACTACCCTTTATTGTACTTTTTATTAAACTCTTATTTATTGAACTTCATTTGAACTATGAATTTGACAATGTCAGCAGGTTATAAATTTCTTGGCTACCATAATAAATTTCCTTTCCTTGATCTTGATCACTAACCAACACCTATTACATCATTAATAACAGGCTTTAGCATATCACAGTCCACATTCTATTTTATAACATATTGATTTATATTTTTACCTTAAATATAAAATGGAATATATTGAATTTAAAATACTGTAAAAGATATTTGTTAAAATATATAATTAAAAATAATTAATATTGTATTATAAATTGATGAGTTAATTTTTTTTAAATAAAATGAATATTATTTTATAAAAATTGCAGTCAGTGAAAAGTATTTTATAAAATAAAATATATTTAAAGTAACACGAATAAATAATTGAGCATAACAATTAAACTAATTTTATAAAGATATTTATAAATTTTTTCAATTTCAAGAAAATCATATATTTATAGATTTTCTAAATCACAAGAAGATCGATGAGATTTAAATCAACAAGTATGGTCCTACCTCTAGTTCTATTTATAAGAAAAAATGTGTTTTTTTAGATTCTTTCAATAATTAATACAATTGATCTTTATTGTCCAAATACATTGCTTATTCAATGATATCTGGAGGAGTATAATTTTAGAGAAAATCCTAAGATGTAAGAAATTGTAACTGAGATTTTTAACATTATGAATCATTCTTCCAGTTCATAAATATCTTCTGTATGTGCAACAAAGTAAAGTTTAGAATGACCACATAATGCATCCTTCTGTGAAATGTTAGTAAACCATGTCAATGATAAACAAGTAAATAATAAATTCTTGTCCTAACTTAATTCCTAAGAAGAAAAAAAAGGTGCGTCTCTTTAGACACATTTAAGAATGTTTTGTCTAAATTCCTAATCTTAACCACTGTGAAGACATTCTTGTGTCCAAAATCCTTTTAACCACATTGCCTACAAAAGAATCAAAACAAGAGGAGCAGCAGCCTTTAATCATACTCGTTTGTCCGCCAGCAATTAATTCAACATGGGGACATACGGATGGTGGAGGCGCCGTACAAACCTCGCTTGTCTTGTGCTCGAGTCCACAAGCAGCGAGTATTGTATGCGTAGAACTCCTTGCAATGTCTTTGAATGTACTATAATCTGAATCAATACATAAAAGACATGTTACAAGAATTCAAATTCAAATAGGATGAACAAAAAGCAAAACAATGGATAGAAGAATTACCTAAATCGGTATCTTGAGACAATCTCTTGAGATGGCTTTTAACCATCGACTGCAACTGCTCCTTTACAATGTGCAAATTATCTTCTTCTATGATAGTCGGAGGAATACTACTACGCTCGGTGACAATGTTTGATCTGCTGCTGAACGGGTGGATTGGTTCAATATCTGATAACGTGCGTGTCCCCGAAAATCCAGGCCATATAACCGCATTCATAGTCGCGTTGGAAAACATGGTTGAATCCGGAAGTAATGACCTTCTTGAATTGTTTATTCTTGTGGAGAAATGATCTCCATTCTGCATTAATGGAGAGACGTTGTTGCTTAATCTCTCCTCAAAAAATGTGTGATAGGATGTTCCTACATCCTGTGTCATTGTATATTGAGAAGTCGGTTCCCTACTTTGATCGATTTCCGAGCTATGCAAGTTACTTATCGTACTGGTAGCTGAAACACCATTAATTCTGCCGGTTGTAGAAGTCATTCTATCCATTGATCGTAGCTGCTGAATTTGACGGTGTATCCGTCGTCTCTCTGATACAGTTGGTGCCCCACCACCAGACATCGGCGAACCTCCTTCGGCACTTCTGCCTGAAAATCTAAAGGATGAAAGATGCCCAAACCCTTGACCAAAAGATGTATACGGTGATGATGACATCAAGTTCAGGTCTATACTTTCTCGTATATGAACAGGTGATGGTCTGGAAGGCTGACTTTGGGTAGTATCTCTTATATCAGCAGAACGTTCTTGAGCTTGGGAGTTTAAAGATGCCAAAGCAACTGGTCTACAACCATCACAGTACCAATTACCTTCAGGTACTTCTCTTCCCAAACCAACACAATAAGTGTGTGCCGGAGAATCACATATATCACAGAGTAGCATGAGGCCATCATCTCCACCTAGATTGCACTCTGAACATATAACGGACTCGTACGGATCAATGTAACTCCTGAGTTCTTCTTCAGTTGGCTGATAAACCTGAATGTAAAATCAAAACATTTTCATAAGAATCAACCAATTGAATTGCAAAACCATAAGAAAAAAGTCAAGATCTTACAAGTGAAATCCAAATACCTGATCACGCTCGGGCACTTGTATCACTGCTTCTTGCGCTGTTGTTGATCGTACGGGCTTACTGATTGTTTTGAATCTTTGCTTACACAGAGGGCAGCGAGATTCAACCTTTGACCACTCCATAATGCAAGCAAAGCAAAAATAGTGAGTGCAGCTGTTTAGTATTCCCCTTACTCTTCTTTTATTTTCCTCAGACAGACAAATTCCACAGACCTGCTTTGTCGCCTCAATTTTTAACTCCTCGACTTTTTCCTTACCCTTTCTTCCTTGAGGTTCCTCTATCTTTTCCTTACCCTTCTGTGCTGGAGGCTTCCGTTGCTGATGTAGATCTTCGTGTATTCCAACCTCTTCATTTTTCATTCGAAGAGAAGCTCTCCTCAAGTTCCTTCTTATATTTCCGCACAACTCCATGGCTTCTCTCACCTGTTCTTTTTCTTCTTCAGAGATAGTAAACTCATAATCAGATTGTCTAGTCTCACAATCAGAACCGGAATTGGCATCTTCAAGGAGAACCCTTCTCCTTTTATGGCCTGATTTCTTTCTGCCATTTGTTCTGATGGCGGAGCCATTGTCAAATAAATCGTCTGCATCATCATCATCACACTTTACTTTCCTCCTTGATCCTCCACTCTTTCTTCTTCTCTTTCTCTTCGGCTTCTTTGAAACTCTAGAGCCACTCCTTTTACGACCTCTGCTAGAAGCTGCAGAAACCCTTTTCTTCAAAGTCGTCTTCTTGACCATTTTACTGCCATTGTTTTTCTTCGTTATACCCCTTGTTTCTTCTTCCTCCTCATCCGTGTAATCTTCTTCCGTCGGTATAAATTCTTCATCTTCATAATTGAAATCCTCCTTTTTCTTCTTCCTTCCCTTTCTTTCTTCTTCCATCGGTATAAATTCTTCATCTTCATAACTAAAATCCTCCTTTTTCTCCTTCCTCCCCCTTATTTCTTCTTCCTCTTCATCCGTGTAATCTTCTTCCTCCGGTATAAATTCATCATCATCATAATTGAAATCCTCATCCTCGTCATTTCCATCTACCTCTACCTCTTCCACTTCTTCTACCTCATCCAGTTCTTTTTCTTCTTCTTCTACCTCTTCCAGTTCTTCTTTTTCTTCTTCTTCTACCTCTTCCACTTCTTTTTCTTCATCTTCTTCTTCCTCCTCTTCTTCATTATAATCATCATCATCTTCTTCTTCTACTTCTTCATCTTCTTCTTCTTCTTCTTCTTCCTCATCTATTTCTTCTGCATACGTAATCCTCTGTCTCTTCCGCGCGGTTTTACTTACATTCTTCCCCTGACGCCTTACACCCGTTTTAGCCCTCGATCTATTAAATTTCGTCACCCGTCGAATCTCCACTTCGGCATCCTCATCTTCTATAAAACCATCAAAACTATCCTCAGGCGCACATCCATCTAAAGAAAAACAATCATCCTCAGGACAATCAGACACATTCCCGGCATCATCCGAAACCACATAATCCTCATCGGAATCATCGGAACCACCCCCCTTTGACCTAACCCTTTTCCTGAAACTACCTTTGCTACTAACCTTCCCTCCCTTTACCATCTGTTCCAACACACAAAACAAAACCTAAATCACCAATTTATCAAAATAACAAAGAATCAAATCAATTTCATTTCATATTCCTAATTCCTTCTATCTTATATTCATTTCAAATGAAGTAACAAAGATCTGATTCATCAATTTGCATATAATAACCACAATCAACAAAATCAATAAAATAAAAACAAAGATTCAGCAATTATTTTGGTCATAAATTGTCACAGATCAAAAAAAGGAAAAAAAAGATAAAGATGAGATTTTGCATAGTTAAGATGAGAATCTTATACCTGAGAGAGAGGGGAAGAACAAAGCGAAGCACAAAGGATCGAAATTCAAGAAAAAGTTTCTTTGGGGCAGTTTCTTTAACGGTTTTGGTTTAATAATTAATTAATATTTAATTATGCATTTTCTTTTTCTTTCAAATTTCAGAGAGAGAGAGAGAGAGATTCAGATTTTTCATTCAGAGAGAAAGTTCAAATTGAGTTCGCAATTTTGCGATGAGACCTGTGTGTAGGGTATGTGGTGAATTACGAAAATGCCCTGCGGAGGACGTTACCTTGCGGTTACGAGATTTGCTTCTTTATGTGTTGTCTTCGGCATCGTATAAGACAATGTAAATCCATTTTTATTTTTCAAGTTTATGTTTGACTAGCGTTTCACTTTTCTCTTTGTCCATTTTTTTAATGCGCGTTAAGCAATAATTTTTATTTAAATATAATTTTTAAATGATATAAAAAAAATTAATAGTAAAAAGTTACATAAAAATTAATAAGAATGATTTTAATAGAAATTATTAATAAATTACACAATAAAGATATACATACTAAAATACATTATTTAGGTGTGGAACATGAAATAGTAGTGTAGGGATGATGACCATCGTAAAAAGGTTATTTGACGTGATTGTAAGTCTATTTAGTGATCGAAGAAGGGTGTATATATGAAAGGTCAACATTCTAACACTCAAGTAGGCAAATGAAATATGTGGAACTTAACAAATAGGTAATGAATAGTATCTTGGGGGAGATAAAGGGTCACCCATGTATACGAATGGTGGTTAGAATAGTCATTCATAGATGCGCCATAAGATGCAGGATGTCCCCAGGTGTGTATTAACAATTGAGATAAAGGTGATGGTTTGCCTTAGTGTGGTGCATTAGTATGAATGTCCATATGTGCACTAGTTGAATTACACACCTCTCATTGAATTGAGCCTTCGTGTTAGGCCGATTTTAGTAGGCCGTTTGGCCTATACGAAACAATTGCCCAACTGAGTTCTTTCTTTCAGACATGAAGCGGTGATTATTGATGTCAAAACTTTGAGGTCGGTCTTCAGTGAGTTACGTCGTGGAAGTCCGAACATGTTAAATGAAGCTCTTGGAAGAGGAAAAATTCATTTGAGAAGTCGAGTAAGAGTTAGTAACCTTGGGAACATGGGCATTAAATGCTCATCACATCACTAAAGTGTCACTTTAAGGGAGGCCTTCCACGTGAAACCATGCACTTAGAGTACGAAAATGTTTCCTTTAGGATACTCGTGTGGACTCAAGTGCCTTTATAGAATTGAAGTCTTATTTGTGTTATTGACCTTGTTGTCCTTGGTGACCTTTAAATTTTGTGAGCGAAGTCAATTACTTTTTTCACCCTGTCGCGGTGAAATTTGGATACCAAACTATTGATTAGTTTGAATCTTATTCATTTGCAACCGGACTTTGATTTGTCCAAAGGAAGGGATAAAGATCGAAATTCCCACAATGCAATGCAAATGCAAGGATAGAGAGTTTTAGGTTCGGGGGTCGGTTAAACTTAGGGAAGGTGCTAGCATCCTAAGTTTCTGTAGTACTCTACAGGAACCTCTCGTTTTATGTTGTTTATTGCTAAAGTGTTTATCTGCTTAATGGTTAAAAGACCTAGGGATTTATTTCTAAGTATACTCGATAAGATATCGCATCTTATGCCTACATATCCTTACGGGAGTGGAATCAGAGTATCTGTAATTTCCCTAAAGGGTTTGAGGAGTTCTTTGACTGTGGTCAAAGTTCCTACGTGTTTAGGGTAGTTGATTGATTGATTTTAGGAGAAAAGGTGAGTTGTCATTTTAAGGGAGATTTAACCGCCACAAGTTGTAGGAAATAGTCTTTGCATCGTCTTAAGAGAAGGGCTCAAGTACTCGGATATTGATCGACAAGTACGCCTCTATCTCTCTTAAGGCAAAGTCCTTACGGTATTGATTGTATTGATGTGGGGTGGAGATTTTATCTCGCTTAAGATGATTAACATCTTTTTCTCTATTGTGTTTGAATATTTGTTGAGTTGTTTTGTTTTTCTATGTTGTAAAGGATAACGGTTCTTCCTATGGGGTAGGATCTATCCTAGAGATCAACTTGAATGGGATCAAGGATCATGGGGAAAATGATGCAAATGATGTGCACTACACACAATTGTTGAATCATGTGTAGGTTTTTCCTTTGGACGGAATGCAAGGCGGAAATATAAATTGTGGTAATGTAAATTGCTTGTAAAATAAAGGGCAAATAAGTAAAACATACATGTACGCATGAAAGCACTGAAGTGTGTGAGGGTGAATCGTGAAGTGGGGTGCACGATTAGATTGAGTTTTACACTGTGAGTTGATTTTAATTGGTCGATTTTAAGCGAGAGGTTGTTTTTAAGACGAGTTGATTTTAGATGGGATTTGACTGTTTTTTGGTCGAATTGATTTTAAGGGGAATGTTCTTTAAGTAAAAGGGTTCGATTATTGCCATTACCAAATGTTATTTAAGTTATATTATAAAGAAAATTTCTTGTTATGAAGGTTTTAAAGTTATTATAAAAGATTATTTTATTGATACATATATCATGAAGTGAATTTTTAATAAAATAAATTGGTTGGTTTAATTAATTATGAAGTGGGTTTTTATTATATAAAAATTATTTAAACAGGTTCTTAATTATTATAAAAGTTAGAGGTTGATTTTATATTAAAAGGTTTTATTATTATATTTCTAAGTTATTTAGGAAAATGAGTTTGAATAAATTATTTAAGAAATTAATAAAATAGAAAAAAGTTGATTTAATTAATTGTAAAATGTTACTATAAAAAGAGTCTAATTAGATTAATTTATAAAAAAAAGAGTCAATTATTAGAAGATTAAATAGTTATTAAATTAATATTATGTTATTTAGGGGATTAAATAAAAAGGTTAACTTTAAAAGGGCATTATATAAATTTAAATAAAAAGTTGATTAAAATTGAATTAATTAGTTAATAAAAGAATTTGTTAAATCATTTTAAATAAAAACTGATTGGAATTGGTTAATGGTTACTTATATTAAATAATTAATTAACAGGTTAATTAGGTGAGAGGTTAAGAGTTTTAAAAAAAATTAACGGACAATTAAGGGAGTTAATGGTGGTTAATTCGGATAAATTAAATTAAAAAACTGACAAGGGAGGGTTAAGGTGGACGGATGATTAGGTGCAGACGCAGGTGAAGGGGCTTATCGTGGATTTCGCGTTGTGGACCGTGCGATGGGATCTGTGCGGTGATTGTGGTGATGGACCATGGTACTACCATGGTCGTGCGTACACATGAGCTACAACAATACAAATATTGAAAAAAAGACAGAAAAAAATAACAAACGGAGAACCCTAGCTCCCAAATCGTTCGCCCTCTCCCTCTGTTCTTCCTCTCTCGCTTAATCTTTTCACGATCTATCCTTTCCCTCTCATCGCCTTATTCCTACTTCTCCTTCCATTGATTCCTTCATTTAATTCTGAAACACAAACCAAACAATCAGAAGTTTAATAATTTCGACACAAACGAAAAATTACCGTAGGCTGTGGATGGCGAGCGTTCTCGACGGCGGGGGTTCCGGCGGCGTGAAAGTAGCGGTTGACAGCGGCAGTTGAGGATTTAGGAGATTTCGAAGGTGAAGGGCAGAAATGAATGTTCCTGGCAATGAAGGTCTCTCCGGCGGTGGATTGCAACCTCCGACGAACCTCCCAAAAGGATAAGTTTTAATTTCTCTTGTACCAATTTTGGGATTTCAATGGATGTTGTTTTCAACGGGTTTTTTTTTGTGCTCTCGTTTTCGTCCCCTTTTATAGTGTTCAGATGAAATCTCCTGCTTAATGCCTTGATTGAATGTTGTGTTTGGACTTTCTGTTTTGGTTTAGGCATATTTAGAAAACTTCCCCTTTTCGTCCAATCTTGTTAAATGCCTGTTAAATGAAAAAAACAATCTCTGATTCTGTATCAATTTGTTTGCAATCTTAAGAATTTGATGGGATCTTTTCGAATCTTCTTGTGGGAATATTCTCTAGCGGTTTTGCTAATTTGGATTTACAACCTTGACAGGGGCGGATAGCAAGGGATTTGGGCCAAGAAAAAAAAGTCAGCCCGAAGTGAATACGGTAACAGAATCGGTGGGTTAGCTGCTGCGTCAAAATAGAAGAAGGGCAAGGTTGTTATTCTTTCTTCCGCTCTGTTCTTTCTTCTCGTTTTCAGGTCATGTTGTTATGTTTCTAACATTGTTTCTTTTCTCTTTTTCAAATTCCTGGTGATGGTGCCTGCATCAACATTGCAGTCATGGTTCTTTGGCGCATTCACTGGTAGGGATGGAAGTACTATCCAAGTAGGCTGTGTTGTTTTTTATATAGATAATTTGGTGATGAACTTATTAAGTGTGCTAATCTCAGTCTCCCGTTTCTTTTTTCAGTGAGTGTCTTGGAAAAGTTTACGAGTTCTGGCGTGAGCGCGTTATCAGTTGCAGAGTTATAATTTGGTTTGGCGCGAAGATGTCAGCACGAAGATTTTGGGCACTGTTGACAGGAGAGCTATCAGAAGGTGGGGTTAGTAGTGCCGCTGAGTGTTGAAGTTAAGTTTTGCCTTGTTTTACTATTCTCATATTTTCCTCAATCAATTCGATTATGCTCTGCCTGTTTGCTTGGAGTTACTTCACAAACTTATTGACTTCACCCACTTCTTTTGACAGGGTTG